TGCTGGATGTTATCAGAGTTGTCCTAAAGTTCTGACTTGGTGCTCTGGGTGTCGAAAAATGCATTCTCATACCAGGACCAGCGATGTACCCTTCCCTTGGGTTTCTGCCTCCTGTGCCCCCCTGCCCTTGCAAACCTCAGTTTCTTCATCTGTAAAATGGAAAGAGTGAGAAGGTGATGGCTCCTACCTACCTGGAGATACTCCCACCTTTAACATCTCAGCGTCTGTCTTAAGCCTCTTCCAAATCCAGAGCACAACGGGGAGAAGTGAAAAGTTCACTGGCTAGAAAGAAAACTCTCTTGCAGGCCTAACCCCTATTGCAGGCAAGAAAAAGCTCTGTCATGGAGCCATCAAGCCCACTGGAACCCAAAGCCTGATCAGCCAGGGGGCGGGCAGAGAGCGAGCCAGGGGCCCATTAGTGCTTCCCTCATCAGGACCGAGTTGTCAACAGCCTAACAAGAACTGGCTTAAGCCAGTGATCTCCTGGGAGCTGTTACCAAGACTCACAGGCGTGCTCTGTGGCTAGATGAGAAACCAGTGTGTGATAACTTTTTTTTTTTTTTAGGAGAACAACTTTCAATTCCCCAAGGATCACATTCCTTCATTGTGAAGTATTCCCTACCCATCTCCCCCATTCCCTCAGAAAAGAAAGGAAATTAAAAAAAAAAAAAAGGCTTGGCTGCTTCTTCTGTACAAGCTCCTTGAAAAACTATTTTTACAACTCTCTGAAAAAGTCCTCTCTGATGGCGGCAGCCGGAGCCCATGGGGGGCATGGCATAGCGGAGCTGACGCAATGCACGTTTATTAGCAGTGAGGAAAATTTAAAAGGTACCGCTCTACCATAGCCGCCCCACAGACCTGGGAAGCCCCAGGGACAGCTGTCGATCTGGTGGTCTCTGGGCTGAGTCCTCAGACACACTTAATCAGTTGCAATCCTAGATCGGCACAGCCGGAGGGAGGCTTGGAGATCATCTAGGGCACTGAGGACAAATGCTTTTCATCATGCGTGCCAAATCTAATTGATTGGTAGGGGCTGCCTGAAGCCCCATGTTGAAAAGGATTCTGAGGCTGCATCCGGGTCCCATGGGAATGAACACTGTAATTGATTAGCAATGTCTGCCATGAAGAGGGCAGATTCATGCCATGTGTTGGCCACTCCTGGTCTAGTCCAGCCTTCCCATTTTATTGATGGGTAGGGTCTCTCCCAGCCTTTTGTGGGGCTGGCTGTTGTCAGTGGTGTGCCTGTGTGAGTGCATGCATGCTCAGTCCCTTCAGTCATGTTCGACTCTGTGCAACCCCGGACTGTAGCCCACCAGGCTCCTCTGTCCGTGGAATTATCCAGGCAAGAATACTGGAGTGGGTTGCCATGCCCTCCTCCAGGGGATCTTCCCGACCCAGAGATTGAACCCTCATCTCTTGCATTGCAGGTGGATTCACTCACTGAGCCACCTGGGAAGCCCTGTCAATGGGGTGTGTGCGGGCGGGGGAACTTAAATATTTGTGAGGTCCAAAGATGTGTCCAAAGACTGTCTCTGAAAAACCAAAAGAATGACAGGGTTGGGTCAATTCAGTCAATGGCTTATTTCCTGGAAATAACTGGTATGATCAGTTGTCTTGTAGGATTGACAAGTGAGTTCAACCCATGGAGATGACCTGGCAGACCAAGGCGACCCCCACACAGTGTTTACCTAACATTAATGGTTAGACGGTCAAAAAGAGTCCATGAGACTTCCCTGGTGGCTCAGTGGTAAGGAGTCCGCCTGCCAATGCAAGAGCCACGGGTTTGATTCCCTGATCCGGGAAGATCTCACATGCCTCGGAGCAACTAAGCCTGTGTGCCACAACTATTTCGCCTGTGCTCTAGAGCCTGGGAGCTCTAGAGCTGCAACTACGGAAGCCTGCATGCCCTCAAGCCCATGCTCCACAAGAGATGCCACCACAATGAGAGCCAGCTCACCACAACTAGAGAAAAGCCTGTGCAGCAACAAAGACCTAATGCAAACCAAAATAAGTAAATAAATAAAATAAAATTTTTAAAAATCCATGAATGAGGCTAACCATTTGGCCTCAGGACAATAAAATCCTCAAATGACCAATGGAATCATTCTAATCAAATGGACAGCTATCCTTCTGGTCTCTACCTGACGAGCTTGGATCTAACCATCCTGTCTATACTCCCTCCCCTCCCCCCCATCTTTTCCTCCCTGCCAAGGCTGGCTTCTTTCCTTCTCCTCTCCCAAGCCTGAGAGAGACCCTGAAATAGATCTTGCTTTCTCTAACCAAGAATCTTTCTGTGGTGGGTCAGACACTCCCCGCACAACCAATACCTGCATATCAGTTCTGTCATTTTAGTTTCCCTCCTTCCATCTGTATGACAGCTCAGGGACCATCCAGACCATTCCTCAAGGTACAGACTCACTTGACATCACTGGGAAATACTGGCCCCGCTGGGTCCCCCGACTACCTCTCAGGTCGTGCTGGGTGCCCTAGATACATCCATTCTGTCGGGTCCAGCTGGGTTTACATGCACTTCTCACAGTGGCAGATAACTACTGAGGACCCCTGAAGGGAGCAGTCCCACAGTGAACATTTGGGGTGGGAAAGAACTTGGCATGTAATGGGGTGTGCTGAGGAGTACAGGAGGAGACCTGGGTCATTGATAAGGTGAGCCCGGCTGTTGGAGAGGCCTGGCTTGGTAGGAACCCTGGCAGGACTGCCCAGGGGCCCAGCTGCCACTTCCTGGGAATGATGAGATGAGGCAAATTTTGTTCAGATCTCCCAGAACTTGTCACACTGCCCTCTGGGAGGTCTACCTTGGCATCTTAGATCCCCAACTCAAACTTAGCTGTTCTTTTTTCTGGGGGAAAAAAAGACAGGTCCTTACCTAGAGAACTTGGCTAAGTGGAAAAAGACCCTCAGTGGTCAGGAGAAGTTAGACTCTATTATGGGACAACTCTGAGCTGAACCAGGCTGGCCACGTACCAGCTGGGAGCTTGACCAAGTCCCTAAAAGCTCTGGTCCTCAGTGTCCTCATTTGCAATGTAGGATAGAAAGACCACTGACCCTCAAGGGTTGCTGGGACAATACAGGGTCATCAATGAAAGGGCTCAACACAATCTCAGCCTGGGGTAGCTAACAATCTCCTGAACACCTCTTTTCTTTTCAGTGCAACACATATGATCCTTGACTTTCAATGGTTTGACTGAAGATTTTTTTATTTTTATGGTGGTGTGAAAGTGATAAATATTCAGTAGAAACTGTACCTAAAATTTTGTTCTTTTCCTGCATGCATGGTGCTTCCCTGGTGGTTCAGGGAAAGGATTCCACGTGCAATGCAGGAGACCTGGGTTCAATTCCTGGGTTGGGAAGATCCCCTGGAGGAAGAAATGACAACCCACTCCAGTATTCTTGCCTGGGAAATCCCATGGACCAAGCTCTGAACTACAATCCATGGGGTCCCAAGGGTCAGACATGACTGAGCGAATAAACCACCCCCACACTAAGTGATAGTCTCTTGAGATGCTCCTCAGCGGCAGCCGCCGCTTGCAGACAACCACGTGATCACACCAACGCACAGACGTTCTGTCCCCAGACAACTTCTGTTTTTTCACTTTCTGTCCAGTGTGCCATAAACTACATAAGAAAGTCCATGCCATGTGTGCGCCCTGTCATGTTCAACTCTTTACGACCCCATGGACTGTTGCCCGCCAGGCTCCTCTGTCCATGGGATTTTTCCAGGCAAGAATACTGGAGTGGGTTGCCATTCCCTTCTCTGGGGTATCTTCCTGATCCAAGGATCAAACCTGCGTCTTTTGTGTCTCCTGCATTGGCACGTAGATTCTTTACCACTCTGCCACCGTTACAAAATAGGTTTTTATTTGTTAAAATGGGTTTGTGTAGGCTAATGGAGTGTCCCAAGCATGTTTAAGGTAGGGTAGGTTAAGTTGTGATCTTTAGTAGATTGGCTGTATTACATACATTTTTTGACTTAAAAGTACTCTCAACTACTGATGGATGTATTAAGATATAATCCCATCATAAGCAGAGAAAGACTTGTACTTCATACTCAGGGCTGAGACCCTACTACACCTCCTCTGGGGAGCCTTCCCTGAAAAACCTCAGCCATTCATGCAGTCTGCATGACAGCTCAGGGAGCATCCAGACCACTCCTCAGGAGACAGACTCTCTTGACCTCACTGGCACCGCTGGTCTCCTGACTCCAGCCAGGGAACTTCCAAGCTAGCCTGACTGCTCTGTGCTGAGACCCTTGTTTCTCAAAGAGCCCATGAGTCACTGGGAGCTGGGGCAGGGGACTGCATCTCTCCTTGCTCCAGAGCACCCCCACCCTGAGCTTTAGGCAGAGGACACAATGGGTGCTGGATAAAGTGGCCACACAGATCCTGGCACCATCTTCCCACCCCCACCCACCTAATCTCTCTGGTTCCCCTGATTTTTCCAAACCTCTGTCTAGTTTCTTCCTAATGCTTCTGTCTCCACGTCTCCAGGGCTCTGTTTGCATGAGGGAAAAGTCTACACACACACACACAGACACGCACACACACACAGCTCAGAAAGCATTCAGTTGCTCCCGGGCGGGCTGCCAGCGATTGAGTGACCTGCAGCTCCCCCCCTAAATCGCATTCCACTGGCACGGATCTTGCCCCGCCTGACGCCAGCCTCCGAACTCGCCCCCAGAGCAAACATTTCCAGTTGGCAGCCCAGTCTTGTTTTTCTGAGGCCCTGATTCAGGCTCCCTTGTAGAAAACAGAAAACAAAATGCATGGGACCAAAAAGGAATTCAAATCAAATGTGAAAGGAGTCAGGGGAAGGCGGGTGAGGTGGAGAGGCGTTGGCTCCAAGGCCCAGGGGAAAATAGGAGCCTCGGGATGTGCAAAGAGTTTCTAAAAAGCAAACACACATGCTCACAAGCCCTCCTTCCCTGCTGGCTGAGAGGCTGGGATCAATTCATTCAGGCCACTGCCTCCTGCTAAAGGACTTACTCTGTTCTCATTCACAGCTGCGCCGGGGAGGACCAGGGATGGGGGGGCAGGTGGTGGGGAGGCTGTGGATCTGAAAGGAGAGGGTGGTCGGTGTTACAGAACTGGTGTTTGTTCTAAAGGGGAAATTAAAGGAAGAAAAATAAACACGGCCAGCCGGGTTTTCACGCCAGCGCGTGCGGTGTCAGCGCGAGGAGAGGGGTGTGTTTTGCCTTCTCAAAATAAGAGCCGCTCAGTGGAAAGATGCCACAACCCAGGCTTGGGTGCTGGGGGACAGTTCAGTCAGGGAGGGCCCAGGCTGGCGCCCAAGCCTCCCCATGGGGTCAGGCAAAGGCCGGGTGTCAGGGCAGGGGTGCTCAGCCAGGACCCATTAGTCAGGGCTGAGCGTGTGGGGACCAGACTCAGAAGGTCAGCCCCAGATGGGGCGGTTCGTCCTTGGGGAAGAGATGGGCTGAGGAGTGTTACTAGGGGAGGGTGGACTCTTGCCTGGAAGATGGGTGCTCATCTCAGCCAGGAGGGAGAGATGGGAGAGGCCCACAGGATGGGAAGGGGCTAGGTGGGGTGGTGGGGTGGGAAAGGGGATAAAAAAGGATGCTTTGCAGACTCTAGAGTGAAGGTAAACTGGCCGCAAACCTGGCTCAACCACAGAACTGGTCACCAGGGCTACAAAGAACCTCCTGCCCAGGGACAAGGGCCCCATAAGGGCACCGGCGGGGATAGAGGGATCCTGGCTGCTCATATGGTAAAGAATCTGCCTGCAATGCAGGAGACCCAGATTCGATCCCTGGGTCAGGAAGATCCCCTAGAGAAGGGAATGGCAACCCACTCCATTACCCTTGCCTGGAGTATTCCATGGACAGAGGAGCCTGGCAGGCGATAGTCCATGGAGTGGCAAAGAGTCAGACATGACTGAGCGACTAACACGCACAGGCCTGAAGGCATGTCGAGGCCTGGGCTGGGATGTAGAGTCCCGGCCCAGGAGAGCCTGAGAGGAGTTGTCAAGCATCAGGGGCCCCAAGGGAGTGGGCTGTCACAGGAGGAGCTGGGCGGGACAGCTGGGGAGGCTGTGAGAGGGAGGATAAGGGCAGGCAGCTCAGACACACACTGGGACCCATGTGACTGTGTCCCTCCTCTGTGGTACCCGCTTCCTGCATAGGAAAGGGCCTGGCATCTTAAAGGGAGCTAGCAATAGTGAAGAGGTCCCAGAGTGATGGGGACTGGTGAGGTTTGCAGAAGATGTGTGTGCTCAGCTGTGACAGTCCACGCTGCCGGAGCAGGAAGTCACAGAGACCAGGAGGAGAGACTCAGGGACCCTGGTCCAGTGTCCCCCGAAGATGGTAGCAGGACAACTTGCATTTGAATCACCCAGAATGTGTAATAAATGTATGTCTCTGGCATGCTTTCAACTTGCTGGATCCAACTCATCTGATCAGGTTGGAGCTATACTATGGAAGGCCAGCCCAGAGGGTTCTCCTGAGCTCCATGATGGTGCCATGATCTTTCCCCTCCAGCCTTTCTTCTCTGGCTGTACTCCAACCTGTCCAGACCCCAGGAACCACAGGACTCTCCATTTTCCCTTTATCACAATCTGAGTGGGATGTAGTTAACAAATCTTCCCCAAGTGTACCTTGACTCAAATTAAGGACACCTCTAACCTGAAAGAAATGAGTCTCTAACGGTGGGAATTCAGAGCTGGAAAGAGTGAGAGGGAGAGTTTGGGGAGTACGTGAGAAACCTTCCAACTAACCCTCAACTCTACTGTATCATTGAGAGGCCCCACGGGTAGCTTTTAAAAAACTTCTTTTCCCTTTATTTATCAGTTCTTAGAATAGTGAGTTATTTTTCTCTAAGCATCCTCCAAATGTCTTTTATTATTATCATTTTAATTTATGGATTTAAAAAATATTTGATGTGTTTCAATTCACTGCAAGGTTTTTATTTGGTTGGTTTTGTATTTGATGCTCCTTGATGTTGGCGTCTGAGCCCTTTTGACATGAGCCCAGTGAGGTTTGACAGCTTTCTTAACTTCTGATAAAAGATACTCTGAGTTTATCTTGTATAATTGTTGCTCTGTACCTGAAAACAGCCAATTCTCCAAGAAGACTTGTTTCCTTTCAGTGAGAAAAGATGCTTGCATATGTTCTCAGTCTCTTCAGTCTTATCAGACTCTTCGTGATCCTACAGACTGTAGCCACAAGGCTCCTCTGTCCATGGGGATTCTCTAGGCAAGAATACTAGAATGGGTTGCCATGCCCTCCTCCAGGGGATCTTCCTGGCCCAGGGATCAAACCTGGATCTCCTGCATTGCACACAGATTCTTTACTGCTGAACCACTAGGAAAGCAGCAAAAAGGTGATTAGAGACCACTATTTGGTCACTATAGGTGCTCAGTCAAAGACAGCTTATTTCAATTTCTCAATCTTCTCCAAGTAGAACTTGAGTCTGGGCCCAAGGGCATCTGAAAGATACCAACCACTACCCTGTTAAGTATGTCTCTCCTTCTTGAAGGTAAGCTTTCTACCCACCTGAGGCAGCTTCACCCCACATACACTCTATCCCACCCCACATACACATACCCACCCACACATACACTCTGTCCTCTCCTCAGAAATGAACCTCAATCCCCCAGGCTGCCCATCAGCCCCAAAGCCCTCTTCACCATCTTTCTTGGATGCATACTACAGTATGAGGAACATAGATAAGAAAATCTTACTTCAAGGGAGTTGCCATAGTTTTATGCCATAGTTTATTCACCTGCAAAGTGAGGTCAAAAAGTATTTTAAATGAGACAATTCAGGCAAAGTTCTTAGCACAGTGCTTGGCAAATAGTAAGCACTAGAAAACTTCATAGATGTGGAGCATTCCTACTAGAGGATCCTACAGTCTTCATGTGCAAATGGAGTTTCTCTGAACCGTTCCCTGACATTCCCAAAGCAGGAGGACCTATAGATCCTCACTATGCTACAAATCAGAGACACAAGGATGATTTGTGCTGGTTTTAGGTTTGTTTTGTTTGTTTGTTTTTGGCCACACCACATGTCTTGTGGGATTTTAGTTCCCTGACTGGAGATTGAACCTGGGCCCTCAGCAGTGAGAACACATGGAGTGCTAACCACTGGGCTATTAGTGAGTTCCTGGCTTTAGACTTTTGAGAAAGGGAGTCCCCAGAGGAAAGGAACATTCAAAGGAAATAAGTCTCTAGAGTCCCTAGAGGGAAATTTGTTTTTTTTTTTTTAATATTTATTTATTTGGCTTTCCTGGCTCTTAGTTATAGCACTCAGGATCTTTGATCTTCATTGCAGCATGTGGGATCTTTAACTGTGGCCAGAGGGATCTTTAACTGTGGCCAAAGGAAACTTTAGTTGCAGTATATGGGGCTTCCCTGATGGCTAAGCAGGTAAAGAATCTGCCTGCAATACAGGAGACACAGATTCGATCACTGGGTTGGGAAGATACCGTGAAGGAGGAAATGGCAACCCACTCCAGTATTCTTGCCTGAAAAATCCTACGGACAGAGGAGCCTGGTGGGCTATAGTCCAAAGGGTCAGACACATCTGAGTGACTAAACACACATACACATGTGGGATCTAGTTCTCTGAACAGGGATGGAACCCAGGCCACTTGCATTGCAAGCATGGAATCTTAGCCACCGGACCACCAGGGAAGTCACCAAGGGAGATCCTAAGTTGCAAGAAATAAGCAAATGTGTGTGTGGAGATGATGGGCATTGCAAGACAGGTGTGGGATAATAAGGGTGATGGGGATCTTGTGTGAGTACAAACCACAGCATGGCAGGGCCTCATGAAATCTGGACCTGTGGGGTCTGAGGCTTCTCTGGGGACCAGCTTCCCTCTCTGTGGAATCAATAATGCTGGTCACAAATCTTCAAATTAGGCACAGCCATGAGGTTTGCTTTAGCCAATGAATTGTAAGCAGAAGGGGCATGTGTCACCTCTGGACAGAAGTTTTTTGTTTTTTTTTTTTCTTTTCTTAAACATTTTATTCACGTTATAGAGGGATTTGTATTTGCTTTTTTTCCAATCATTAGGACAGTGGTTGAGGAGTACTGAATCCATCACTACTTTGATGACACAGTTAAGATTCCAGATTCACATTTCCAGGTACCAAGAGTTCCCTCTAAATGCTACAATCAAGTCAGCCTTCGTATACATTTCCTTTACTGAACACAGCAATGCCCGTTAGTATCTCTGAAGCGTAATCGCATCTTAGGTATGGACAGAAGTTTTAAAAGCTGACATGCAACTGGCTGAATTTCCTTCCCCTACCTCTGCAATTGTGGAAGCCTGGGTCAAAAGGGAGTCTCTGTTGCTCTGTGTTCTCATGTGGCCACAGTACACAGAGTCTTTCCTGCTCACAGGTGACAGGTAAGTCACGTGGGGTCAGGAATAAACCTTTGTTGGATTAAGCCACTGAGATCGGGGGGATGTTTGTTTCCACAGCAAAACCTAGCCTATCCTGATCCCACTCCACCTCTTTTTCAGGGGCTCACTCCCCTTCTCTCTTCTGCATATCTTTGCTTGCTCAACATTCTCCTGTGTCCCTATCTCTGCCTGTAACTGCTTCCTTCTTCAGGATGTCTCAGTTCAGAGAGACAAAGGAAGACTAATTGCCTCAGCTCATCTCTTCATGCCAGCCACATGTGGGTTGTTGCCCAGCTTATAGACTGGCTCTGTGGACTAGATACTAATTCCTGGTCCACATAACTGTAGGGGAAGGAGACAAGTGGGGTAGGTGGTATCACACAATACAAATCACAACACCTGCCTGAGGATTTGGGTAGGACATGACAACCTGGAAGGGACTAGGAGTGGGAAGACACCAGATGGTGGGCAGGGGAACAGGGGTGTTTGCTTTTAAGCATTAAACCAGCTTAACCTTGGATCTACAATATAGTCAACATCTGGCTGAAACAACACTTCGATGGAACATCTGGATACTTACTCTGCACAGTGTGAAACAGCAGGACCTTTGGCAGCATCTGTGTGAGTAACCCATGTGGGGTCTCCTCTGTGTGTTTAACATCACGTTTGGGCTTTCCTCTGCCTGTAACAG